TTGATATATTATCCATTTATACAATATTTTTACAGATATAATTCAGGTATATAAATGTAATTAATACTGTTTAATTAAAATTCGAGCATTTACTTAAATAAATTCTACTTATCTACCTATCTATTTCTCTAGCTAGCTAACTAGCTAATGGCAAGCTACTGGTTTCTGAACACAACTATCTGTTTAGATGGCTAGCCAATCCCTGTTTGCAGACACCTGCTCAGGAACATTTTTATTTCTTCAATACCTGAAGCCCACCTTTGATTTATATTGCAACAATTAGAAACAAACAGTACAGAACTGTTATGTAATATTCATCATACTATATGGCAGTGAATGCTGGACAATCTCACCACAGATGAACAAAAGTCTTGAGACATCTGAAATGTGGTTCTCCAGAATGAGGCTGAGAACAAAATAGGCTAAGCTAAACACATGAGAAATGACAGTTTTAGGAAAAACAGATACGAAAAGGACATTTATATTTAGAATCAGAAAGCCACCGTTAAAATTTCTAGGATACATAATGAGGAAGGAGGGCTTGGGAAATTTGACACTCGCAAGAAATATTGAGTTTAAGATTACAGGAGAGGTAGCAAAAAGACAAACCGTACCAAGAGCTACAAGGAACAGGAAATTAGTGTTGAGAAATTTGGTTTCATGTACTTATTCAACAGATTTAAATATCTCTTTTTAAAGGCAGTAGTTTCATTGCTTTAATGTCTTTTACCAGTGCTCAACGTTTTTTTTCTCTGTTTATACTTGCAACAATAGCTTCTTCAAATATTTTCTTGCTGGCCAATTTATTTAATATTGCTATTTACTATTTTAAGTTTTCTCAAAGCCGATTTATTCTTGCTCTCATCTTGCTAATGTTTTAAACTATTTTTTGTGGTCTCTATTCAGCTTTTTTGTAATTCTCCATGGTAATCCTTGCGTATTTGAAATCTTTTAAAAATTGCATATCGATTACTATGCCATTATAAATGTTTTAATTTTTTTTTTTTTAATCCTTTTACCCCAATGAAGGCACTAAGAGACAAGGGTTACTGAATGTTAGAGAATATGGGAAAAGAAAAACTCTATAAAGTAAAGAGAACAATAAAAGAACAAGAATTAAGAAGGCAATAGATAACAGTTGACATTGCATGAATAACTCCATTCTCTCTAACAATTGCAAGTATTTTTAATTAAAGCAGATATTTGCTGAAACTATCTTATTTTGTTCATACAAATTTTTATATCTACCAGAAATTTTACCAGCACCAGTTGGTTAATACCAAATTTCTTTCAATATATCAAAGCCTGACATAGTGTATCAAATGCTACTGAAAATTTGAGGAATTTGAAGTGTACAGACTCAGCATTAGGGTTCTTTTATTTATTCTTTTCTTCTCAACTTTTGAGATAGTACTTTGTATATCATTCTTTTTTTGAACAATCAATTATCTATTTCTCTCTCTTTCTCTGTAGATATTATGTTGATTCATAAGTAATTTCTGTTTTGGCTTCAGTTGTAATGACCAATGTATGACTAATGTATTGGTCAGTTGTAAAAACCAATGTATGACTAATGTATTGGTCAGCTGTAAATACTAATGTATTGGTCAGTTGTAATGACCAATTTATGACTAATGTATTGGTCAGTTGTAATGACCAATTTATGACTAATGTATTGGTCAGTTGTAATGACCAATTTATGACTAATGTATTGGTCAGATGTAATGACCAATTTATGACTAATGTATTGGTCAGATGTAATCATCAATGTATGACTAATGTTTTGGTTAGTTGTAATGACCAATGTATTCTGCTAACTACTAATCATGTGTGGCAGTTACAAATAAATTTTAAATAAACAACCATACTTTGGTTTATATACCGCAGTGGCAGCATAGACAGTGGAATAAATGAAAAAAATATTGTTCTCTATCAAAATAATTTTTCAACTTAGATGATCTCTTTTACTCCACCTATTATATCTAGCTGGCCTTGCACCAACAGATGTCTACCTTTTTCTGATCACTGCAAAACATTTTGATGGTGGGGAGACTCTTCAAAAAGTTAACTGAAAACTTTTTCACATCAATAGGAATTTTTGTCAAAATGTTTCAAAGAGCTGACTGATACATGATAACAACTTTGAATTCAAATCCTGGTGAATATATAATTGAATTAACAGATTGCAACAGATATTAGGGATATGTGATTGAATATACTTTAATGTTTAAAAAATTATTCAGTATTATTATTGTTTAAGTAAGAAGCATTATAACATAGCAGAAATAGCTATATTGTGGAAAAATAAGTGAAATTACCTGCATTTATTGGGTTGCAGTCAGACGTGAAAATATATCTAGTAAAACAATTAACCATTGCATACAAAAAAGCCATAAAATGGTTAATTTATATTAGGAAGACATAAAAAATTAAATTGTATCTGAAGATGTCTTATCTGATTCAGATCTCTTTACTACTAGCAATTCTGAATCTTCTGATTTTTACTTTTTTTCTATGATTTTATTAATATGAATTGCTTTTATTTTATATTAATTAATAAATTTAAAATTATACATTTAATTACTAATTCTTTAATTAATAACTATTTGTGCTCAGTTGTTGACATTAATACCTGCCGGCTGATGTATTAAAATTTTGGAATAATGCAATAATAAAAATTTAAATTTCATCTCTGACAGATATCACAATTTGTTCTTTATTTTTTGAAAATTAAAGTTGAAAAACAAAAGCAGAAATTATAAGAAAGTTGATTCACTGTTGTGTGAGACAATTTTTCTTCTCCAGAATCTATCTTACTTAACTATAAGTTTACCATTCCTCCATGCTTAGAATATTGCTGCAACATGTAGTCCAATGCCCCTGCCATTTACCTTGAGATCCTTGTTAAAATCCAAGGAAGAATCAGCAATATTATTGGTCCTTACCTGGTGTTTCAGCTTCCGTTACTTTCCCATTATTGTAAGGTTGCATCTCTGTGCCTTTTCTATGAATATTTTCGTAGTAATTGTTCAGATGAGCTCTTTGCTATGGTACCTAGACTTTTTGAATTTAAGCACTGTACTAGACTGGCATCAAGATCTCGTCAATTTACAGTTGAGCTGGTTAGATGTAGCCATAAGTTCTATGCTAACAGTTTTTTTTCTCACACTTATTGCTTGTGGCACTCTATTCCAGCTAACTTTAATCTGCAAAAATTTAAATGTGATGTCAATTGCTATCTAGTGTCTTACTGATTACTCTTTCCTCTTCACATTCCTTATTAATGTTTCTGTTCGTAATTCTTCCACACCCTGCAACCCCTTGTGTCTTAGTGGCTTTACTGCCTTGCATAGGATGATACTGATTTTTTTTTAAAAAAAGAATGACAAATAGATACATGATAAAGACATTGTATTTGATCTATGAGAGAAAAGCATTCAATGTAGAAAAAAGGATTGAATAATATTGAATGTTTTACCGCTTTTTCTTTATGGCAGCCTGTTATTAATTCTGTGATGGTTACACAGCATAATAAAAGGCTGTCTTTTTCTTAATCATTTCACCCCAAAGCAAAACAATAAAGCCGCTAAGATGCAATTGTTACAGTGAGTGAAAGAGAATGAGAAGACTTCAGTGTGGAAAAAGGAGAATAATGGAACAGGATTCTGGAAAACAGAAGATGGAGATTAGCATTACATTTGAATTTTTGAAGATTGTAGGTGGCAGGGGAACAAGAAATCAGAAGGAAATTCCACAGAATTTTAGTGAGAGAAAAAAAACTATTAGAATAGAACAGACGTTTGCATGTAGCTAATTCAACAGTAAAAATTTGAGACCTTGTTGCAAATCTAGTATTATGTTTAAATTCATGCAACCAAAGCATGAAGGAGGAAAGCACATCAGAGCAATTGCCATGAAAATATTTGTAGAAAAAATGGAGGGAAGCCATCTCATGTTAAGGAGAAAGTGACTGAAGTTGAAATACCAGGTTAGGACTGATTACATTACAAACATTTCTTTGAATTTCATCTAGAATATAGAGATAGGAGCAACAAAACAGATATAGCAGAAGTATTCAATGCATAGATGAATAGTAGATTTATAAATGTGCAAGATAGATTCTGATGAGAAAAATTGTTTGACACAACACAGTGAACCAACTAGCATCAGATCTAGCAATTGGTTTAGTTTAATAACCCCATTTCATATCAGTAGAAAATATAAGCCCAAGAAGGTGTAGAGAGTTACTCTCCTTGAGGTTAGAATCAACCATGTTGATGGCAGGCAAAAAAGGTTCTCTATGATGATTAAATGAAAGTTTTGTTTTGGAAGTATTAAAATTTAAAAGCTATTCTTTGCCCCAGTTAACCACTGATTGGAGGTCCTTTTCAGGTGAAGTTGCCAATAAATAGTTGATCATCATGCTGATGATCAGCTATTTATGATTTAAATACCTATTTGGGAACTGATGTCTTTTCTTCTCTCTTGCTATTTTTTATTTATTATTATTTTTTTAATGAATTATCAGATCTGTTAAAATCTGATCAGTGATTGGTGGAAAATTTGCTCATGATTTGCCATTTATAGCAAATTGAATTTCATTTAGTTTTATCTGATATTTTTATTAAAGTCAACAGCAGACAAAATTTTACTGTTGCAAACCTTGTAGTTTTGAAACTCATTTAATCAACCCCCAAGCTTTATGTTTCAGAAATTCTATTAGAAATTAATTTTTATTTCATATTTGTCATTTGCTTATTTTTTAATTTTTTTCAAATTTTGTTTTCTTTTTCATTTTTATAATCCATATCGTTTTCAGTTTATCTCCAATTTCTCTGTCTGTCTTGTTGTTTTCTGTGCATTAACCCAGTTTCATGTTTTGATGTTTCACTAGAAATCAATACCACAACGAAATGCTTCACTTAAAAGTAAAATTGTCAATCTAACCAAAGGAATTACTCATTTTTCTTTCAGACTGAAGAATGAAAATCATCATAAGGATGATACGCAACTTACGAAGATTCATACTTAGACATTTTGTCAGTGAGTAGATAAAATTTTTTCATGATTTCATTCAGGAGTTCCTTTTTTTATTTTTTCCTTTCTTTTTAATTTTTTTTTATTTTTCTTTCCTTTTTGCCTTTTTTCATTTCTTTTTTCTTTTTTCTTTCCTTTTTTTCATTTTTTTTCTTTTCTTTTTTTCATTTTTTTTCTTTTCTTTTTTCATTTCTTTTTTCTTTTCTTTTTTCATTTCTTTTTTCATTTCTTTTTTCTTTTCTTTTTTCATTTCTTTTTTCTTTCTTTTCTTTTTTCATTTCTTTTTTCTTTCTTTTCTTTTTTCATTTCTTTTTTCTTTCTTTTCTTTTTCCATTTCTTTTTTCTTTCTTTTCTTTTTCCATTTCTTTTTTCTTTCTTTTCTTTTTCTTTTTTCATTTCTTTCTTTTCTTTATTTTCTTTTTCATTTCTTTTTTCATTTCTTTTTCATTTCTTTCTTTTCTTTTTTCATTTCTTTTCCTTTCTTTTCTTTTTTCATTTCTTTTTCTTTCTTTCTTTTCTTTTTCATTTCTTTCTCTTTCTTTCTTTTCTTTTTTCATTTTTCTCTTTCTTTTCTTTTTTCATTTCTCTTTCTTTTCTTTTTTCATTTCTCTTTCTTTTCTTTTTTATTTCTCTTTCTTTTTTTTCATTTCTTTTTCTTTCTTTTTCTTTCATTTCTTTCTCTTTCTTTCTTTTCTTTTTTCATTTCTTTCTCTTTCTTTCTTTTCTTTCTCTTTCTTTCTTTTCTTTTTCATTTCTTTTTCTTTCTTTCTTTTCTTTTTCATTTCTTTTTCTTTCTTTCTTTTCTTTTTCATTTCTTTTCTTTTCATTTTCTTTCTTTTTTTTTCTTTTTTTTCTTTCTTTTCTCTTTTTTCTTTCTTTTTTTCTTTTTCTTTCTTTCTTTTCTTTTTCATTTCTCTTTCTTTCTTTTCTTTTTTTTCTCTTTCTTTCTTTTCTTTTTTCATTTCTCTTTCTTTCTTTTCTTTTTCATTTCTCTTTCTTTCTTTTCTTTTTTCATTTCTTTTTCTTTCTTTTTTTCATTTCTTTTTCTTTTTCTTTTCTTTTTCATTTCTCTTTTCTTTTTCTTTTCTTTTTTTCTTTTCTTTTTCATTTCTTTTCTTTCTTTCTTTTTTTTTTTCATTTCTCCTTTTCTTTTCATTTCTTTTTCTTTCTTTTTTTCTTTTCTTTTTCTTTTTCTTTCTTTTCTTTTTCATTTCTCTTTCTTTCTTTTCTTTTTTCATTTCTCTTTCTTTTCTTTTTTCATTTCTTTCTTTTCTTTTTTCATTTCTCCTTTCTTTTCTTTTTTCATTTCTTTTTCATTTCTTTCTTTTCTTTTTTCATTTCTTTTTTTTCTTTTTTCATTTCTTTTTTTTTCACTTCTGTTTTCATTTTCCTTCTTTCTGTTCTTCCTTTTTATGTTTTTTTAAGCTTGGTTAAGCCAATTCCTGCATATTTATTTATTTATTTATTTTATGTGTTTATAAAAAAAAGAGTTGATACATAAATACCCCACCTCCAAAGATCTGTTTTAAGATGGAGTTCTACAAGAACAAAAATTGTCCAGTATCACAATTGTATCAGAATATACAAAGCATTTCATTTTGTGCAATGGGAAAGTGTTGTACCATTACCACAATACCCAGGACCAGACTTACTTTGTTTTTGTTTTTTTTTACTGTGTCCTGCCTGAAGATAAGCAACATTTCCCCAGAAGACTGAGGGCAGGAACAGATACTACAATGTGATCCTAACTAAAAGATAGTTTCTAAATAAGTTCTATGAATTAGGTTTTATAAACGTCCTATTAAAAATAAAATGCTTCATTCATATGTTAGATGCACAGGTAGGTAATAATATGAAATCTCAATTTGTATGAACAAATTTTCAGGCAAGGCTATCATTTTTACAATTTAAGATATGCAAAAACTCTTCAATATCAGTTATTTTTCTGTTGGTGGCTCTTAGAATTGTCCTACAACATCTCCTGCAGAAAGGTAAGAAGACGCCTCAAAAAGAGGCTAACATGATGATTCTTGTATAAAATAGACTTGCGCCTGACTTTTTGACTCTGATGTAAACTGGGCATGCAACTATAGTAGGGCTTAGGGATTAAAATGAACAGTTGATTTACCCATGCCAAGAAGATTAATGAAGGATGATAATAACAAAGAAAACATTGGTAATTTTAATAAAATAAAATAAGGAATTTATTCCCAAATTTACACACTTGAAGTAGTGTCAGTAGCTTATTTCAGGAAAATAGGTCAGAATTCTTAAAGTCTATAGTTTTAATGTATTGTCAGGAAGAGGAAATGTTCAAACAACAGATTAAATGATTTGGCATAAAATAATATTCAAAAAATGATTAAGACAAAGGTAAGAAAGTTTGTTACTCACTGAAGGGAAATATGGCTGCATACATTCAAAAGTAGATGAGAAATAGTTTGAAATACTTAGCTTTCTTGGGTTGTTGAGAGAAATTTTTTGAAGTTCTGTGTACTGGCTAGAGGCTGGTAATATAATTGGCAAGTAAGTTTACACTGGCAAGAACTGGTCACAAGAAACTGAAACAAAATCTTTCATATGACTTCAGATACTCTTGTCTAATTTAATTTTTCCCATCACTTTATATAAAAAAGAATTTCACATTGGCTCGCTACTTCTACTTCAAACCATCTAATTTCTCTGAAGGAAAGGTTTTCATTTGTCCAAAGAAAATTTCATATAGGCTCACAAGTTCTTTTCCTTCTTCCTGAGTACTCTAAATTTGAAGGGAGTGGGTGAAGGGGCTTATTTTATTTTGCACTCCCTACACATCTACCTTTTTAATTTTTCTCTTAATTCATTGTGATTTTTGTCCTATAAGACAAACATCAAACAACCAATCAATACTTGATATGTCATGAAAATAACCAACCAATGAGTTTGTATCTCACTTAGTTTGTATCTCACTTTCCTCTAATGTTACTAAAAGCCTTAGTCATTCTGTGTCAAATCAACAAGGGTTTTTCAAATTTGGGAAACTTATACACCTTCATGATAGAAATTGAATGGTACCAATTTTCTATCTCTAGGTCAAATGGTTCCCAAAATATGACCCTTTCATCCTTACCAAAAAGGTGAAATTTGGAAAATTTTTGAAAAGTTGAAATATCAATATCTTGGTTGTTTTTTCACTTACAGAGCTAAATTATATACCATATTAAAGTACTTGGATAGATCGAAAAGATTATCTACTTTTTCATTTAAAGGTCAAATAAGATGATATGACCTTAACCTTTGACCTTTAATTTCTCAAAAAAATCATATCTTATTTTTTTTTTTTTTTTTCAGTTTGACAAATTTTTCTGGTTTATGGCAAGATATGTACAAAATTTTGTGGTGGCTTTTTGACTGTGGCCTGAGTTACAAGGGTTTTACTGAGTTGGGTCAAATTGAAAATGGCGTATTTTGGTATTTGCCACTTTATGCTCTCATTTTTATGTCTCCCAATATGCTCAAGTTGTATATCTTTAGAAAGCTCTTTAAATGCTGATTAATATTCACATTAGAACTATAATAAAATCAAGAGAATTTGTGTTATTTATGGTTAAATGTTGACCAATTTGATGGAAAATAAACAACCTTATTTTCGGTTTTGTTTACATTTTTATTATATGACAAATAGATTAATGAAAATAATTATTTTAAAAAGTATCATGAATTGATGTTATGATAATATAAAATAATATAAAAATATGCAACAATTGATGTTAATGGCTAACAAATTTTTGTTGACATCTGACATGGTACACTAACTGCACAAAACCATCAGATTTTCAGGGGTTTTTTATATATATTTAAAAAAATTAAGTTTTTATCTGAAAAAGTGATAAATTGAAATGAATATTTAAAAAACAAAGGTTCTTAACATTGACAACTAACCGTTATTTCCTCTGTATCCCAAATGTAAAGAGGTCATAAGAATTGCTAACCTCAACCTGATCAACGAAAATCACCTAAACCCTGTGATCTTCCTTCTCCAACATTTGTGGTATTCATAATCATAGAATCATTCCACTTCAAAAAGTCTCTGGATATTCTAGCATGCTGCAAGACAAACCTCAACTCTTTTGTCCCTTCCTCTGATTTCTTCATTCATGGTTACCTTCCTCTATTTAGAAAGCACTCTAAAGTCCATATGCATGTCCTGGGAGTTTATGTCCACGAACATCTCCTGCTGGCTAGGGAACCCTTCCTTGAATCTCCAGACGACACTTGTGTCTCGATCTCTCTCTACTTAGTCATTTTTTTTTCTATTATTCCCCTTCCTCTCAAGACTGTTGTGTGTTAGATAGTATTTCTGAAAATATAGACAAGGCCCTCTTGCTGTACCTCTTAACAAACATATTCATGTTGGGAGATTTTAACACCTACCATACTAGGTATCATAAACATCTTGCCACAGACCTTGCTGACATCCAAACCCTTAACTTCTCAATCACCCAATGTCACACACAAATGGTTGACTTTCCTGTGCATTTCCCCAATAACCCTGATGGAAATGCCTCTCTCCCTGATTCTTGTCGTAAAACACAACTCTCCCCTCTTGGCAATTCTGATCATGATGTAGTATCTGTAAGCATCTCCTTCCCTTCCCATGACCCTCTTACCAACAGAATATCTTTCTGCTATCAATGAGCAAATTGGGACACATTCTTTGATCTCCTTCAAGACATCCCTTGGAATGTGGTTTTTAATCACCCCATTCAGAAATGCACAGCTGAGATCTTCTCCTGTGTGAAAGCAGGCATTGATGCCTTCATTCCAGCTAACCATATTCTTTTTCCTGGTTCTATCCTGGTTGCTCAGCTGCTATAGCCCACATGAATCACTTCATCCAACAGAACCAGGGCAACAAGTCTAGTTACAATAGACATCTCTTTGTTTTAGCTTAGAATGAATGCAAGGGTGTTATCAATGAAGCCAAATTACTGTTTTCTGTCAGAATGAATGAGCGCATAGCATCTAACAAGTTCAGTTCAAGAGATTATTGGCCACCCTGCAAGAGTGTGCTGAACAACAGCAAATCCTCAATCCCTCCTTTCTTCAACTAATTTGAAATCCTGACATCCACAGCAGAAAAAGCTGAATGCTTTGCTCGTAAATTCTCATCCAACTCAGCACTAGTCTGGAGTACCCATACCTGATTTCCCCACTAAAACTGATGCTCTACTGAGTGATATGCAAATAACACCATTGCTGGTTGCAGACATCCTTCTAAATTAGACCCCCATAAAAACAAGTTATGGAGTACCAACCATTGTCCTAAGGAATGTGCTCCTGAGCTGGCCCCATTTCGTTCCAAAATATGTAACTATTGCCTTGATGCTTCCTGCTCTCCAGCTTATTGGAAGTCCTACTCAGTATTTCCTGTTTTTAAGAACTCTGGGAAACATTCTGACCCCTTTAACTATTACCTATCAGTTTCCTACTGCTTTTCGGCAAAGTCTTTGAGGCTTTAATCAATGCTGAAATTGTCAAGCCTCTTACTTCTTAAGACCTGCTCTCTGACAAACAATATGGATTGCACTTTATCTGGTCTACTACTGATGTGCTCATGCCCATAAGTGAATATATATATATATATATATCATGCTCTTGATAAGAATGGCAAAGCTCAAGTGTTAAGCATCTTACTTATCAAGACCTGCTCTCTGACAAACAATATGGATTGCACTTTATCTGGTCTACTGCTGATGTGCTCATGCCCATAAGTGAACATATATATATATATATATATATATATATATATCATGCTCTTGATAAAATCAGCAAAGCTGAAGCTGTGGCTCTAGATATCTCAAAGGCATTCCACACAGTTTGGCATGCTGGTCTTCTGCATAAGCTTCAGGGCTACAGTATTACAGAATGACTATTTGATTTAATCATATCCTTCCTTTCAAATTGCAAAATGAAGGATGTTTTGAATGGGCATGATCCTACCTTATGAATGCAGGGGTTCCCCCAAGGCTCTATCCTAGGTCCTACACTGTCTCTGATCTTCATCAGTGATCTTCCTGATGTCATCATCTCCCAAGTAGGCATCTATGCAGATGACACTACCACTTACTCCTGTCTCAGTAGTAAACCTGGCGGCTCTGACAAAGTCAACCTGGCCACTGATTGTGAAAAGTTAGGAAATGGCTTGTAAATTTTAATGCATCCAAAATGAAATTGCCCTCATTTAGTCCCGACAGAGATAATTCCCTGCCCGCTTTTAGCATGGTTGATGCTAAACTCCAGGTTAGTGTCTCTCTCTCTGCCTTCTTGGTCTTACGTTTTTGAATGACTTGAAGTGAAACAACTACATTGAATCAAAAGCTGTATCTACTGCAAGGA